TCTCTGGGCAAGACCACCTTCTTTTTTGCCTTGCTGGGGTCGGTTGGGGTGCCCGTCCCCACGTTGAGGGGAAGTTGTCGTCCTCGGCAGTTCCCTCTCCCGCCATTTCAGCACGGACTCTTTTCCTCCCCCTTCCACCACGTCAGGGGATAAATGTATATACAGTATATATTTTTAAAAACCACAAGCAAACAAAGGCCCTCCTCCTCCTGGACGGGGGGGGGTCTCCCCACAGAGTTGAGGGGGGGGGGAGTTGGACGAAGGGAACCGGGCGAGCAAGGATGGCGGGGTCGCCCGGGCGTGGAGGGATGATGGGACCTGGAGTCCTCCTGCCTCTGGAAAGGGGCGTTTTGGAGGGGGGGGAGTGGCTGCCTGGGAGGAGGGCGGCCGAGCCCCCACAAGCGTCGCCGGAGCCGCGTGCCCCCCTCCTCCTCCGGGGTTGTGTGGAGAGAGACGCTCGGTGCGGAGAGAGGGCCTCTCCCTCCCCTTCCCTCCCTCCGCGACACGCCCCCCTCCTCGGCCCGGCTCCCCGCCAGCCTCCGGCGCGTCCACACGGGACCGAAGCGTCGCTCCGGATTCAGACCCGGGAAAGGGCAGCGCTGCCTCCCTTCCCTCCCGCCGCCCGCCCGGCCCCTCACCTGCCCGGCCTCCGCCCAGCGCCGCGGCCTCCTCGGCCGCCAGGATCCCCCGCCTCAGCTCGGCGGCCGTGACTCGGACGCGCTCCAGCTCCGCCGCCGCCATCTTGGTCCTCGGGAGCCAGGGAAACAGACGGGCGGACGGAGGCCGAGGAGGGTCAAAACACCCGCGCGTGCGCGCAGGCGCAGCCGGGGCTGCTGCTGTTGCCGCCGGGCGGAAAAAAAAAGGGAGGGAAAAGTTCCTCCGGGCAGCCCTTGTCTCTGTAACCACGCCCCCTCCCCCGAGCCACGTGGTTTCTTCCCCTCCCTGGCCAAGAGGAGAGGGCTGGACTGTAGATGTCAGACAAGGATAGAAGAGTCCACCCTGCAGGGGAATTCCGAGTTCGCTTAGAACAGGGTCGCCCCAGGCTAGAGCCAGAAGGAGGTTCCCAGGGGCCATCTAGTCGGACCCCACACCCAAGCGCCGCCAACGCCTCCTTGGCAGAGGGCCACCCAGTCCCTGCATGCGGGAGAACTCACAACCCCTGGCGGGCCAAAGGTTCCCGGCCCCATCTCTCTAGTGGCTCTCCAGATGTGGATGGACTACAGCTCCCATCTATCTGTCCTCCTCCCCCCCCCTGCTGGACTGCAGTTCCTGTTCAATTCAGGACCTGCCCTGTCTCCTCTGTTCTTGCTACACCAAAACAGCTTTTTGCGACCCGAGGAGCCTCCTGGGATATTCTGGATGGCCAATTCACACAGAAGACGCACTTAAGACTGGAATCGGGAAAAGAGCAAGTGTGCCAAAGAGAACCTTCCGCAGACGAGAGGGCGTCCCATCCTCTCAGACCATCTGCCTGCCTTCCCCCTAGCCTTCTTTGGCCTGCTTTTCCCAGCGAGGGGACATTTCGATTCTCTGGCCATCAACATTTCCGGCTTCATTTTTGGTCGAGGGGTTGGAATGGGGCGGAAAACAGGGCTGCCCAAACCCCAATGGCCTTCAAACTCTGGGAGTCTAGCTGGGGGAGACCTAGGAGGAAGGCCGACTCTGTTTCAGACTAGAAGTGGGCTTATAGAGGGGCGTGTGTTTAAATAAAGACCAATTTCTGCTCTCAATTGAAGCACCACATAATGAAAGCAGAGCTTGAGAAAATATACCCGTAGTTATTATTTTTTGGACCACCCCTCTTAGAAGCTCCCACCCTCCAGCCAGAGGCATGCTGACGGGGGGGGGTGGAGTGAGGGTCCTAGGAATGGTTATCCAACCCCCCCCACCTGCCTTCACCCCCCCAAAAAAAATAATATTGGCAAGCTCTGCGTGGAACTAACGGCCTGACCTGCAGCCCAACGGAGGACACCATGGTGGTTGAAGAAGAGGAAGGGACAGATGCCCCCCCCCGGTCACTGAGGCACACCCAGGATGATCCTGCAGAAGGGCTGCCCCTCCCTCAGCGAGCCATGACCCCACGGCGAAGGGAAGAGCTCCACGCTTTCATTGAAGAGCGGCTTAATTTTTATTTTTTTAATTTTTTTACAGTTATTTACATCACCAGGCCAACCTCTGGCAACATCTGGAAGCGCAAACGTGGCTGAGGAAGGTGTTGCCCCTTCCCTGATCAGGGTGGGAGGGGCGGAGGGGGGAGCAGCCCTAAAGAAATAAAGAGAGCCGAGTAAAGAGAGACATTCGCCAGGTCGTGGAGGCCTCCCCTCTGGCCCTCAGGCCGGGGGGGGCTCGCCCTCGTGTCTCACATGCCTCAAGGGGGCGCTGCCGGCTTCCAGGCATCCCCCGGCCATGAGCAGGTCCGAAGGGGGAGTCCTGGGACGGGGTGTGTTTAAATAAAAGCCGACCAGCAGGCAGAAGGATCAAGAGCAGCAGAGCAGAAACTAAGGAGGGGAAGGGAGCATTACAAGCCACGCCAGGGCAAGTTCTCAGCAACCTCACCCAACAGCTCCCAGTCCCCTTGGGCATCTACGCTAGGCTTGACGCTCACAAGACCCAAGGCTATACGGAGATGGAACAGCCTGCAAACGGAGACAAGGCCGGTACCTTCTGGAAGGAAGAAGGCTGGGCAGGAAAGGAACGCCCGGGGGCCTCGCCTGCCACCCATCCCTGCCGCTCCATCCGAGAGCGCGGCTGAGCCAGAGACCAAAAAACGGGCTGAGAGCCTCTTCTGAGGCTGGCCCTCTCCTGCCACCCCACGGGGCGCTCGCGGTCCTTGCGGCGAGTCTGCCAAAGGGGAGCGGTGGGCAGAGACAACCCGGGTGAACCTCAGAGAGGCTCCGCTTCCGGACTGCCTTGGCCCTGCTGCTGTTTGGAGCAACCTGGCTGCCGGTTTCCTCCTTGAGTCACCCCTCTGGGTTCTGCTCCAGAGAGGGTCACAGAAAAGAGCTACCCTCCAAGGGGAACAGAGAGAGGGGTGTGAGAGGAGAAAGAGAGGAGGAAAAAAGAAGACATCTGGGGAGATACCCCTGCCATCGGGAGGAGGGCATTGAGAGGTGACAGGGAAAGGCGGCAGGCAGAGCAGAGCAGCTGTGTGGTCCCCACTCCTGCCTCCCTCCTGGCCCCCAGGGGGCGGGAGGGGGAGAGGGAAACAGACAGCAGCTGGGAAGGGCTAGGCTTCAGCCTGATGGACCAGGATGGATGGATGGGGGCGGCGGGGCATTCACAAAAGGAAGACCGGATGGAACTGGGGAGGGCCTGTTTATTCAGAGAAAACACTCGCACGCACCCCCTCACACTCTGAAGGGCCCGGAGGAGATTTGAGTGGGCACCTTTCAAGACTCCGGCTGTAGCACCTCGGTTCACAGTCTCTCAGCTCCGAGTCCAGAAGGCGCACCCTGGGGAGGGAGATGTGGACGGGGCCAGGGAACCCTGAAACCAGCCACTCCCACCCAAATCCCCCACATTCCAGCAACAGTTAATAAAGAAGGAGGAAAAAGAAGAGAGCGAGGGGACTCTGAGATGGCTCTCGATTGACAGAACTACCTGCAGGCCTCTTGAGGGAAGAAGAAAAAGAATGGAAACCGAAGGAGGGGTGGAACCGAGGGGGGGGTGTTTCCTGAGGGCTGCTCTACCAGTGGAGGCCAGAGGGGGGCGTCTTTTCATCCTTATTGCTTTCCAGGGAAAAGGGTGGGATCCGGACATCAAAGTGGGAGCCGTCGGATCGCTCAAACCGAAAAGTCCCCCTACAAAAGCAAAAGAGAGCAAAGACCGGCGTGAGGAACCTCCCTCGGCTTCACAGGGGGTGGGGTGGGTGCATTTCTTCCCCTGCTCCTCGGCTGTATGCATTATTTCCGGATCTCCAGTTCAATGTGCTCAAAGATTCCAATGTTGGAAACGACCGGACACAGGAAGACGGTTTGGAAGGTCCTCCACTGTCCAGCCCTTGCTTGACCGAAACGGTGACTCGTTACAGGTCGCAAAGTAACTGGTTGCTGTTTTACCTCCAAGCGCCAACCATGCCAACACCAGCAGGGCTTCCTTGACAATCGTCGGCAGGGACCCCCCCTCCTGCAGGGGAGCGCAAGTCCCCCCCCCAGAGGATCACCCACTCCCTGCTTTCCTGGGATGAAGTAGCACAAAGCTACCCCCCCTGCTCTGGATCCTTACCACATGTGGCCACTAGATGCGTGCAGAGAGACGTGGCTGCTGTACTGGAAGGCTGGCTGCTCTTTGGATAAGACCGGCTCCTGGGAAGACAGAAAGCAATCCTTACTGGCCACCAGCACAGCCCCCCCCCCTCCTTGCATGGCTGCAAAAGGGCTTCACCCCAGCAAAGGGCACACCGGGGGGGGGGGCGCGGGATTCCAAGTTCCTTTTCCAGGGCTGCTTTTTCTGCTAAGCTCCCATTTTGCACAACTGAACCAGTGGAATACGACAAACAAGCAGGCGGTGGGGTCCCGTGAATCAGGCCCCGGAGGGACCAAAAGAGGAAGCCCCCCGCCCAATCGTTCTGGTTTGGGTGCCTGAAGCTTTAGGATTGGTCATTCGACCGAAGCTGGAACTAAAAAAAGGCAGCCTCTGCCTGGGAACTTCCATTTAAAGGCGTGTCCTGGGGCTTCCAGGTTTGGGGAATTCCTTGTTTCTTCCCCCAAAACCCAACGCTTGAGGAGGCCCACCCTGACAGAGAGTCCCAGAGAAATCAGCAGCCCACTTTTCTATGACACTTTCCCCCTTCCCCAAATCATAAAACAATCTGTTTTCCTACAGTCTGCTCTCTTTTCAGTAATTCAGCTGCTCTTCACCCTTTAACTTTCTATCCTACAGATGGAGAAGTGGGAATACAGAAAATAAACTGAACCAAACCGAAACTCATCCACCTGCCTAAGCTAGGATGATTCGGGTCATTTGGCTCTCTGCCGCAATGCCATTTTGAGTCAGCAGACCCGCGCACCCAGGAACGACCTGCTCCGAGCGGCGCCCACCCACCGGCCCTACTCACTCGCCCCACGACTCCCCGGCCACGGATGGTCTCCAGCGTCCCCGACAAGCTGAAGATCCGCCAGTGCCGCTCCCGGAGCTGAACGACCTCATTGTTCAGGTTCTCCAAGCGGATGCAGTAGCGCCACTGGATGGAAGAAGGAGAGAGACAGAAAGGGAAGGAAGTCACACTTCCCGGCAGAACCAATGCCAAGAGAAAAAACAAGCCACCCACCCACAACCAGACAAACGGCACTCACCCAGTAAACGTGGGGATTCTGGGCTTCCTGTAAAAAGATTAAGAAACACGATTACACATTGGAGCCCACCAGGAAGCAGGCAGGCAGGCAGGGCTGCAGGTACCGATTCTGGCTCAAGGATGCATCTGTGATTCTGGCCCTGCAGGGGAAGACTGCAGGGCCACAGCCCCCAGAGGCCTCTGGCTAGCCTCGCAGATGCTTGGCCCAGCCCCCCTGCAACAGTCCGCAGGTTCTTGTGACCTTGGGACAGGGGAGACCCATCAACAGCCAACGGTGGCTCCCTCAAGCACAGGCCCATGCGTTTGAGGAAGACTGTGCCTCGGGCCGGACGCACAGCTGTGTTGGCCTGCACGCAGGACGCCGGGCCTTCTGTTTTGCAAACTCATGCTGCCACAGCGCTCTGAACCTAACAATGTCTGGAGATGTCTGTAGCCCGCAAGGCAAGCAGAGCCGGCCCAGCCCTCAGGCGGCAGAATTTGGAGAGGTGGCAGTAGCAGCAGCGGCCCGTAGGAGTGGGAAGGAGGGAGAAGGGAACCACTCACCGTGGGCCTCAGGCGGCAAGGTGTCTGGAGCTGCCCCAGCTCTCAAAGCCCTCCTGGGAAAAGCAGAACGGCCGCTGGCCGTGTTCACAAGGAGGCCTGCCAAAGCCTCCCACAGTGCCAGCCGCACGAGCGCGGGACCTACCCTCATGCCCATGTAGAAGGGGATGACCGTCACGCGGATGTTCTCCGTGGTCTCCCGGTGCACGTCGGAAAGCTCCAGCCACGGGTGGTTCTTCTCCTGCCACGCCAGCAACGTGTCCCTTGCCACAAAAGGTGGAACTGGAGGAGAAGCAGAAGGTCCAGAGAGTCACTTTGCCTCTGACAGTTTGGCGATCGACGCTCTGGGTTTCTAAGAATGAATATCTGAGCTTGCATTTAAAAGGAAAATGGGAAAGGAAAATACCTCTGATGTCCACTCCTTCAGTGTACTTCAGATTCCAGATCCATTAGAGCAGTGGTCCCCAACCTTGGGCCTCCAGATGTTCTTGGACTTCAACTCCCAGAAATCCTGGCCAGCACAGGTGGTGGTGAAGACTGAAAAATACCTCTGATGTCCACTCCTTCAGCGTACTTCAGATTCCAGATCCATTAGAGGGAAGCCTCTGCTTCTCCCTCGGCTCACCCTTTCCAAATCCTCCCTCACCCCCCTTTTCCTCCTCCAGCAAGCATTTGGGAACCTGAGAGGCCGAGAAGGAAGCAGCCTTTGGAGGGCGGAAGGGCTTCCACCTTCTCCCCTTTCCGCAGAAAGGGCGTTTTAAATTGCTTCAAGTGAACTTTGTTCCAAATAGGAAATATATACTTAAGTGCCTTTTAACAGTCCTGCTCTTTTGATGGTCCCCGTCGTTTTTACTTATTCAGCCACTCACTTGCGTGGATGTGATAGGAAATAAATAGTCCATAAATGATACCTTTGGTCTGATCGTACACGAGAAACCGTTCAAACAGCTCGTGCTGGATGGGCACCTGATCGGTGGATGAGTAGGGGAGGATGTCTTCGTGGCTGACGTAGTCAAGGCCTAGAACACAACCCCAGAAAGGGTCGGGGGTAGAAAACACATATACTCACACACCTGTTTGTTAGTAAAGGAGCCGTAGACCATCACTGCTGCCACACCCCCACACCCACAGACACAAACACCCACAACCGAGAGCATGAACGACCTACTAAGAGACCCCCTGGCCTATGCACCCAGACAGGTCAGGCAAAGCTATCCCAGCCAGCTGCCCTGGATACAGTCCTGAGATTTATGCACAGCCCGGGGTGGAGCTGCTCGGCGCCTGGGCCCTCCCCCTCCTCAACCGCCCCGCCAGCCCCCAGGCCCCTCGGCTCACCGGGGATTGCATAGAGGGCTCGGCTGTCGTCGTGATTTGTCAAGAAAGTCACCGCTTCTGTCTGCGACCTCTGGGACTGGAGAGGAAACCGGAAGAACAACCCTGAGGGGGTGCCAGCCCTCGTGAGCCCGCCTGGCTGCAGGCCCCACCAAACACAGGGCGCCGTCAGCCAAATTAGTGCGACATGTCGGTTCACACAACCGGAAGCCAGAAACGTTGTGTGGTTCTTTTCCATCTCACAAAAATAACTAAGGATTCCTCCCACGCTCTGGTTTAAATCCAACCACCTTCTGTTTGGGAAAGTTATCACAAGCGATGGCCTCAGACAACAACGTCTTGATCGTGGTGTCCCTGCCGAGCCCAAAGCGCTTCACAGCCAGGCCTGCCTAGAACTGAAGACTCCCCCTCCTCCCACAAGCAGTTGTGTGATTTTTGTCTTAGCACCACCTCACTGATGCTTATTCGTTAATCGTGTTCCACTCATTGAAATCATTTGCAAAGAGTTAGCTGTATTAGCCTGTTCCACTGTGCATAATGCCACCACCCCTGCAAAAATCAGAATATTTTTCCCTTGCCTTTCTCCATAAAAAGAACCCAGAGCTGCTCATGCCATTAAAAGACAGTCTAAAGACAGCTCCTCAGCTTTAATTTTATCACTTTGTTCTCCTTGCGTGCCGTACTGGCCCAGTTTTCATAATGCTGTGGGTAGTGTTGCTTTTACCAGTTCTCCTTGCATGCCGTACTGGCCTGTACACGTTTCCATAATGCTGTGGGTAGTGTTGCTTTTACCTGTCTGATAGCTGCCTGGCAGCCAAGAAGAGAGACATGGGGATGTAAAACTAATGATGGAACAAGCAAGAAACGAACAGGGGATGGAGCTGGATTTTGAAGTCAGCGTTAAAAGTTAACGCTAACAGCCTGGAAATCAGAGGAGCGAAAGGATGCTCAAGCTTCCCACCCCTCTACGGACCGCCACCCTCTTCGGCCCGCACCGACAGCGCCCCGAGAGGCGAAAGACTTACGATATGTGGGCAGTCCCGAGCGTCAATTAGCACCTGGTAGTACGTATGTGTCTTGCCTTTCACCTCTTTGGATCCGTGGCCAGCTGTGTTCTCGCCCCTGACAAGTCAACACGGGAGAAGCGGTCGGACTCGCCCTTTGCTCTCCTAAAGGCTTATCACAAACAAAGTACCCTGAGGCTTCCACCCACGTCACAGCAAGCGCCTCCCTTACTTTTCAGCCACTGGAGAAGCGACGTCTCGATCGTACAGCCTGGCCTGCCAAGGAAACAGGATGATCCCCCGGTACCCGAAGACGCTGTGCAGAAATAACTGGAAGGCAAAAAGAGGGGGGGGAAACAGGGCCTGAAATACCCACAAGACAGACAGGAACGGGCGGCTCAGCGAGGTGACCGATCACAGCACCACCCCATGCAGGAAGACAAGCAGTCAGGCGGCCGCGGAGGGCTGTCTAGCTCAGAGCCCAGATGAGAGGTGAAGCCGATTCCCTAAGAAGCAGCTGTGCCACTCTGCCTCTGCCGGCTGGTGTCGACTACCGAAGCACAGTCCCACACATCATTCCGTTTGTCTGACCGACCTCCCGCATCGCTAAGTGTTCATGGCGTGTAAAAGTCTTCAGAATGGAGAACGTGTCCATCTACAAAAGCTTCCCTGCCTGGTTGCCGGGAGGCAATTCCACCACCGCCCCCAGGACCCTGGGCTCCGAAGACATGCCTTTCCTCTGCGGGGCCAGGAGGGCCAATGGCGTGGACAGAGGAGGGGCACAGTCCCAACCCTGAGACTCTGCCCATTCAAAGCCAAGACACCACAAAATGTCCAGGACAGAACCAGTGGCCCTTTGGTCAAGTCGCGGCCTCTCTTGTGCCAAGCAGGAACAGCGCCGCCACCCCCACCATCCCCCCCCCAAACACTTACCTGTCCTGTCTCGTATTTGCCCTGCTGCTTTGGCGCTTCAAACACACCCACCGCCTCCAGCACTTTGCCTTCAGGTCGGTTTCTAAGGTGGGGAAAACACAGAGCAGAGACCTTTCAGCCTCACCGTCTTGGACAAGCAGCTGTCCAGCTGAGACCGTAAGAGGAGGGTGAGAATGAAGGAGCCAAACAACCCGCCAAAGTTTAACCACAAAGCCAACAGCCAAGAGAAATGCCCATTCACTGCAGCTTGATTGACCTCCCAGCGGCCTCCTTCCCACCCAGATATCCTGCACAACAGCTCCAGAGACCCTCCCGTGTCAAAGCCGTCTGGGTACTAACAGGTGATAACAGAGAGCAGAAAACGAGAGGAACAGGAAACCCAACGTTGAAATGAGACTAAAGACCATGTCAAATTAGCCGGCGGGGGCAGGGGGGGCCGGCTGGTAGTGCGAGGGGAGGACCTTTGAACCCTCTTAAGGGGTGACCCTAAGGGCCTCTATAGTTTGCCACGTGCAGAACCGGGAAGCTAGGCTTGACTAGACGGACCACGAGCGTGAACCGCAGGGCAGCCCCCCTCCAGGTACTCGATGGGGATGCTTCGACTTCCTGGCATCCACAGAAATTCATGCTAAGGACACTTTTTTAGCCTTTTTCCAGGTATCACAAGACTCCCCGTTGTTCACAATGCAACCAGCTATTCTGGATACCGAACAGAAATATTCTGAGCAGAGTTACGCTCCGTTACTTTTAGGGTCATTCAAGGAAACACCAACCGCAAAGCAGGCCTCCTCATGAGCCACAGAACTATCGAAGCACAGATCCCGTGCAGAAATAAAGCAAGCGGATCTTCCGACCTCAGGGCCAAGCCTGTCCTCCTAGACCACAAGCAGGCCGTTTTCCCTCTCTTCCCCTTTTCTCTCCCATTCTGCCTTTTCCCCCTTTTCAGGTGATGCGCCCCCTTCCTCAGCCACCGAATATGCAGCGGCCTGCAAGGGAAAGGAGTGGTGGCTTGCTTCCGTTCGGCTGGCCTGTCTTCATGCAAGCCATTTCCACCCGTCTCGACCTCAGATTGCCCAAGCGGGCTGATGCAGCAGCTTCTTGTGGTGGCTCTGCTCTCTCTCTCTCTCTCTCTCTCTCACACACACACACACACACACACACACACACACACACACACACACAAGCCCTCACTGCCCCCATCGAGTTGGCCACTGGAAAGGCTGAGAGGTGCAGGAAGGGCAAACACAGAGACCAGGGAAGACCTCTGAAGAGTCAGGGCATCGAGGGGGTGTGGGTGTTTAATAGCCACAAAATCCAACCAAACAAAAGCTACGGGAAGAGCTTGAAGAGCGTGCCCGGTAGAGACAAAAAAATTGCCCTGACATATATCTGTTAGCAAGCACTGGAAGCGTCCCTAATGTTTCTGTTTTGGGGACCCTCTGGGGCAACCGTGATTCAGAGACCCCCCCAACACGCTTCCAACCAACATCCCAGTCGCCTCCCTGGGGGCCCCCCCGGGAAGCCCTGGACACCCTGCCCAGCAGGAGGTCCTCACGACCAAAGCCACCTTCCTGGCATGCTCCACATCCCCACCTCCCTCCCTCCCCACCTGCCCAGGTCCTGATCCTCTGGAAAGCACCACCTTCTCCCTGGCTGGAGGTACGGAACCACGGGGAACTCTCCGTTCACATCCCCACCTCCCTCCCCTACTTGCCGCCCCACCTGCCCAGGTCCTGAACCTCTGGAAAGCACCGCCATCTCCAGGGCCGGAGGTACGGAACCACGGGGAACTCTCCGCAGGTTGCTGGACTACAAGTCCCATCAGCCCCCATGGGCCAACCAACATCAATCAGGGAGAAAAGGAAGACAGGTAGTGTGGTCCTGGAGGGGGGGTTGAGGGGGGCTTCAGTGACAGCAGCAGAGGGAGCACATAGGGGGCAACCGTGGCGATGCCAATGTGGGGCCAAAGCTACCCCCCCTTTCCTGCCCCATAGAATCACTAGCCCCACCACCTGCCCCACAGAATCTCTAGACCCGCCCCTTGCCCAAGCCCCGCCCCTTCTG